TCTGGAAATGACCTAACTTCACCATCATATTTGAACGAGAGTTTTGCAGGATATATTATTCTTCGATGCCAATTTTTTCTTTCAAGGTTTTATATATGTTATCCCATGCCTTCTTGCCTGCATGGTTTCTGCTGAATAATCCGAGCTTAGTCTTATTGTTTCTCCTCTGTATGTGATTTTTTGTATTTCTCGAGCTGCTCTCAGGATTCTTTGTTTGTCTTTGGTTTTAGCGAGTGTGATTATGATATGCCTTGGTGATTTTCTTTTGGGGTCTATCCTATATGGGGTTCATTAAGCTTCCTGGATGGTCAGCTTTTCATCTTTCATGATATTGGGGAAGTTTTCTGTCAGCAACTCTTCAATGATCTGCTCTGTGTTTTCTGTTTTCTCTTCCTGTTTTGCAACTCCGATTACTTGCAGATTTTTGCTTTTGATTGTATGTCACATAATTCTCAGGGTTTCTTCATTTTTCTTTGTTCTTTTTTCTGATTTTTCCTTAAACAGAATTGTATCCAAGTATTTTGGCTTCAGTTTCGCTGACCCTGTCTTCCAGCCTTTCAAACCTGCTTCTCAGTCGTTCTATGACACTGTCTATTTCTGATATCTTGTTGTTTATCTTTTGGATTTCTAATTGATGTTTTTGTATGATTTCTAGTTGTGAATTTATTTTAGCATTTTGTTCCTGCATTATTTTCTTGAATTCTTCCAGTTTTTGTCGGCCTTTTGCATGAATTTGTCTCTGTTTTCCTCATTTTTGTCTGCTTTTTGCTTCAAGTCTTGGATAATTCTGAGTAGTAGAGATCTGAATTCCGTATCAGGTAGTTCTAGTGCCGTTTCTTCTACTGGAAAGTCATCTGGTGTTTTATTTTGGACGCCTACTGGAAGCATCCTGTCCTGTTTTTGTATATGTTTTCATATTCACTGCTGTCTTAGGGCATTCAGTAGTTATTTTCCTCATTTACTAATTGTACGTTTGTTTGTTTCGTTCTGCTTTTTGTTATATTTGGTTATGTCTGAGCAGGTGGGCTGTGCGTTCTTTGTAGTTTGCTCGTCTGTGGGTACTATACTTTCAACCTCCTTCTCCAATGGGCAGGGTCAGTCACTCAGGTATGGTACAGCAGGGCAGGTCCAGCTGAAGGGGAGCTGCTGGGATGGGTTGTTTGTGGCACATACTAGGGCCGACAGGGTGTGCCAGGAATCAGTGCAGGTCAGGTTCCAGTAGGCCGTGCCTGTGCTGCTTGGAGTTGTGATGTTCAGCAGACAGTGCAGGCAGGCAAAAAGGAGTGGGGAGAGTGTGATGTGTGGAGGTAAGATGGGTATGGGAAAGGGGAGAGAGAGGAGAGAAGAACAGGAGCCAGTAACATACACACAAACAAACAAAAAAGAGTGTTAAGGGAGCTTGCTGTTGGGAGTGGAGAGATGAGAGACTGAGAAATGGAGAAAAACAAAGAGGAAAGAAAAGAAAAAGAGTAAAAGAAAAAATGAATAAATAAAAATTAGAGGAAAAAAAAAAAAGGAAAAAAAAAAAAGCCCCCAGGGATCCCACTGGTGCAGATGGTAGAACTGGGGAAATTGTTCCCAGGCTGTGAAATACAGCCTGGCTAGAAAGGGTAGAGATGTTACACAGCACCAGGTATTCAGGAGACAGGAAGAGAAGGTGAGAGATGAGAAACTCGAAATGAAGAAAGAAAGGGAAAAAGAGAGATACAAAAAGAAAACAAAGAAACCAAAAAACAAAAACAAAAAAATAAAACCAAGAAAAAAATGCCCTCAGGGATGTCACTGTGCATACAGAGTAAGAGAGCAGCTTCCAAGCCACGCAGTACTGCCCAGCTAGAAGGGGCTCTCAAACCGAGAAAAGAAAAAGAAAACAAACAAACTAATCAAAACAGAATAAATCAGAATAAACAAACAAAGCCCCGGGGTTCCACCAGCGTGGTGGCATGGGCCGGGAAGCAGTTTCACAGTTGAGCGGTGTTTTGCAGCCTTTCAGGAAGAAACGAAGATGGTACACAGAGCCAGGTATCTGAGAGAAATGGGGGTGTGAGCGGTGAGAGGTAAGGAAGAAATCTAAAGAAGCGGAAAAAAGCAACACCAGCAGCCAACAAATGGCATTCAGAGAGCCAGCCAGAGCGGGCAGGTGGAATCCAAGTGACACTGGGGTGAAGCCAGTGCTTTCCCGCCAACAGACTGTGGCCACAGGAAGCAGAGGAGGCTGAGTGGGGTGAAAAAGTGTGGGGAGTGGGAAAGCGTACATCACTGGTTACTGGTTGTTTTGTGTCCTGCTGGAAACTCCGTGAAACTGCTTTCTCATACCCCCTGTTCACCCTAATCTCTGATATCGAGTCCAAGATGGCGGATCCATGCTGTGGTAGCTGATAGGGGACCTCTGCTTGTATCTCTCCTCGCTCTCTGTTCTCGGTCAGTTTCTTATTCCATTCGGTGCTTGGCTGAGTTCTTTATCTCTTCATTTGATGCTTAGGGTTTCAGGATTGATGTGTGTCTCTCTCTTAGTTTTTCAGAAGTTTGCTGTGGAGGGACGGCATGGTGCTTCTGTCTATAGTGCTGTGTTGCCCGGAAGTCTCCACCCAGTTTTTGATGTTTGTTTTGAGAATAGGAGGGTATAGCTTTTTACTCTGTGATCTTGGTAAACTATCGGAGTTGTGATGTCTCTTCCTTCAGTCCTAATACTGGTAACTGTCTTTTGTTTTGTTAGTAAGTCTACCCAGAAGTTTTGATTATTTTATAGAACCAGTTTTTGGCTTCATTGAATTTTATTCTATATTTTCTGTTCATTTTTCTATTTCATCAATTTCTGTTCTTACCATTATTATTTTCTTCTTTCTATGAATTGTAGGTTTAATTTACTCTTCATCTATCTTAAAATGAAAGCTTACAATTTTGTTTAAAAAAATGTTTTTAAACCAAATAAGCATTTAAAGTTATACATTTCTCTAAGCACTGCTTTAACTGCATTCCACAGTTTTCATTATCATTCAGTCCAAAGTCTTCTAATTTCCCTTGTGTGGGGTTTATAATTAACTTTACCTAAATAATTTGGTATTTTTCCTTGGTTCCTGAGAGATAACCTCTAAAACCTTGGGATCGCTCCAGTGATTACAGTATCTTTGGTGAGGGCTCCTGACCACATCTAACAGGTTATGCTAATGAGCTGACTGACTCTTAACTGGGGGCTGACCAGGCCAGAAAGACCCACTACATGATAGCAGCCTGACCTCGGGGAGGTGGGCTGGAGGTTGAGTTCCATCAATCATGTCTATGTAATGAGGCCCCTATAAAGGCTCTACACAGAAGCTTCAGGGGCTTCCTCCTTGGTAACTGACATTGATGCACATGGGAAGGTAGCACATCTCTTTTTCAGACACAGAAGCTCTGTGTTGGGAAACCTACTAGACTTTGCCCTATGTGTCTCTTCATTTGTATCCTTTTTGCTATAATAAAACTATAATCGCAAGTATAGCCCTTTCCTGAGTTCTGTGAGTCATTCTAGCAAATTATCAACCTGACGGAGTAGTGAGAACCAGCAGGTCAGAAATGAAGGGGGCCTTAGGGACCCCAAACTTACAGCTTGCATCCTGAGGGGGGTAGTAGGAAACTTCAAATTTTTAGCTAGCAGTTCAAAATGTCGTGGGGCCCCCAAGCTTGCTGCTGGCATCTGAAATCTTGGGCAGAAGTGGCAGTATGGAGGATTGTGTCCTTTAACTGGTGAGATCTGACTTAGCTCTAATGGTTTGGGTTACAGGAAGAAGTACTGCATTTACAGCTGGTGTCAGAAGCAGAACAGAGGTGAAGAGAATAAAATTAGAATTGAATTTACATTGATTTCCCTACACCTTGTGATTTATTATTTAACCCAGGGATTAGCAATCTGACCCACCATCTGGTCTTTTTTTTTTGGAATATAGCCACATCCATTCATTTACGTATTGTCTATGGCTGCTTTCAGTTACAACAACAGAGCTGTTGAGTAGTTGTGACAGTAGTTGTGGGCCAAACTGTAAGTATTTATTTTCTGGGCCTGTGCAGAAAACATTTGCTGACCCTTCCTTTAGCCTATGGGCTATTCAGAAGTATGTTTTAAAATTTCCAAACATTCGAGGATTTTCTAAATATTTTTTATTGAATTAATTTAATGCTGTTGATTTAATTTAATCATACTGTGTATGATTCCAATCCTTTTAAATTTGTAGATTTTTTTTTTTTTTTTTTAATGGCTCAGCACATGTTCTACCTTGGTGAATGTTCAGTGTGTACTTGTGTTGATAGTATTGCTCAGTCTTGTATATTTTTACTGATTTTCTGTCTATTAATTCTGTCAGTTATAGAGATAACTTAAAATCTCCAACTAAAATTACTGTTTTATCTATTTCTCTTTCAGTTCTGTCAGGTTTTGTTTTATATGTTTTGAAGCTCTGTACTAAATGCACACATTTAAAATTATTATGTTTTCTTGATGAATTGATGATTCATTTTGTCATCATGAAATGTATGTCTTTACGTCTTCATAATAATTCTTGTCCTAAAGTGTACTTTGTATAATATTAATATTAGATAATATTCTAGCTTTCTTTTTATTAGTATCTGTATGGTATATCTTTTGTTAACTTTCTTCTTTTAATCTGTGTCTTTACATTTAAAATGCTTTTCTTCTATAAAGCATATATTTGGGTCTTACTTTTTTATCCAGTGGTCAGATAATCTCTGGCTTTTAATTGGAGTATTTAGACCATTTACATTTAATTATCAGTATCAACGTAATTATCAATATGATTGGATTTACACTTACTATCTCATTGTGTTGCTGTTAGAAGACTTAAGGAATTTCCCAATTAAGTCGATAACTGACAGTATAGCTTCTGAGTGCTGAGAAGTTACATAAAAAACACATACAGGGTATTTTTCACATTAATGTAACTCCTTAAATTGGTTTGACATTTAGCTTAAAATGAATGTAGACTAGGATTCTCTATTATACTTACGCGTTGTTGGTAAACAATGTTTTTGTGCTCACGTGCCACACGTGTAGCCCATTTCCGAGCCTCCTTATTTAAACTGTGCTCCTCTGTGGTCCCAGTTTCTGATTCTAGTTGTCGGCTCTACAACACAAGAGAGAACAGAGAAAAGTACTGTTATCCTTATTGCAATCGCAACCCACTATGTAGCTGGACCAATGGCCTTCACTTAATCAGCAGTCAAAACACAAGGCATGCTCCACTACTGTGGGAAGCAATGTCTCATGTCACAGCAAGTTAGCAAAAGATTAAGAGGATAGTATGAAACCATAAATGACCACATTTTTTTAAATCTTACATTGTTGAACATGAGCATTTCCTCTCTAATACTGTGGACTGATCCTTTTTTGGTGAAGGAAGCTACCTAAGCAAACGGAAAAAAGGTATTCATCCCAAGCTACTATGACAATAAAATAGTTGCATGTACAAAAATTGAAACAATTCAATAGTTTCAATGTGAATAAAGAATGACTCACTGAAAAGAAGTGAAAACAAACAACAAAATGATACAATAACAGCAACAATAAAACCCTCCAAGATATTGGGTTTAATTTAGTCATAGGTCTATTACAAACTTACTAAATGGCCTCAAAATAGTAAAGATAGGGGTTTGCTCTCATTTTCTATGGTCTTACACTACTATCACTCAGACAGAAGTACCCAATAATCTTGATAGATAAAAAATGTCACTGATTGGGAGATGTGACTTTGGGAAATTTAAATTAATTTATCCTTTTCATGATTTCTGAAATCAAGTCATGGAAAGACATGTGGAAGTAACCAATAACACAGGTCTTGACAAATCAGAATTTCATACAAGGCAAACTCAACCCAGGGTGTTAAGTAATACCCAGAGGTTTTGTTCTAATGCAACCTCCACTATTAAAGATCAGTACAAGTCAGGATCTAGTGTAGATCATTATCTTTTAAGGTGATGGTGTTAGCAGTGCTTAATTCTAGCAAAGGAACTTTTTAAAAGGTCTTTTTAAAAATGTTGATTAATTTAATCTTTAGTTCATTCTTTTAACATTTTTCCTTTACCTTTAAAAAATATATTTGACACATATAAAAGAAGAGTGACCTGTATAAGCTATTAAGTACAATGATTTAAAGACCATTGCTATTATTATATTAAATAGTACTGTAGCTTGGCTCTGGAAAACTTCACTTATTTAACTTAATTATTTTGAAAGAGGCATATATAAAAATACGATTCTCAGGATAATAGTGGTAAACAAACAAACAAACAAAAAAACCCAATTCAAATATATTACAACCTGAAGAGGACTACTATAAAAGAACTTTTCTATCAACTTCTACATGTAACAGGGATAGTTTTTCAATTTGTGTCAATTAGGGTATACTTCTACAAAGTAGGGGAGAGGCCAACTAAATATGATTCTTGAGATTTTTAGAAACATTAGGATTTTAGAAATCATAACAAGTTTTAGTAAATAATTTTCAGAAGCAGATAGTTCTTTTCCTGGAAAACAAATGTCAATTTAAACACAAGTCTAGGCTTTTAAGTCCTGTTCCCTCTAGTTGGAATAACTTCTCTATCTTTCGCCCATGGACAAACCCCTTGTCATTCTTCAAATCTCACTTCACATGCTACCTTCCCTGTGAAGCTTTCCCTGATGTCTCCAGACAGACTCAGGGCTCCTTCACTTTTGACATATCTCTATTATATACAATTGTTCTGCTGTACTTAAAAAAAAAATTATTTTATTTTTTGCTATTGAAGAAATACACAGCAATCTCTACTGTATTAATGTACTCATTTATTAGACATTTATTGAGTGGCCACCGTGTCATGCAAATATCACATCATACTATGACTGCTGCATTTGAGTTTCCTATTTATCTTTAGGCAACGAGGGCCCAAGCAGTATATTAATCTTCGCATTCTTGGTTAAACTAATATAACCTAAGGCCCTGGTCCTGGGATTCCAAAGTGAAAGCCAGGTCACCAGATTATCAGAATGGTGGCTTCAGAGACAAGAGAATAAACAGCATTAGAATCAGTTTCTAAATGATGAAGGACAAGATTATTTTGGGGGGTGGGGGCAGAATGAAGAAAGGGAACTAATTTATTAAGTGCCATGCATTTTAATCCAGATTCACAAAGCTGACTTTAGGATTGGGATCCCTCTCCCATTTCTACAATAAAAGGTTACCTAATACAATCCCCTCCATGTTTAAATTCCCACTACAAAATCCATTCAAATGGATTACTGAGGAAGGAAGTTTATTTGAAGGTCCAAAGTAAGGGATTTTTATAAAATCATATACTTAATGAGATTTATTAGTCCCTTAAAGAGTAACCATTGAAATCTGACATATATTCACTCTCCAGAGAAACCTAGCTGTGTCATCCTGGCCAACTCCTCTCTGGTCTTCAGATTTCTCATTTGAAAATCAAGACATCGGAAGATAGGATGAAATTTCAGATTTTTACTACTGCTGTAATTGATTTTTGAAGAACAGAGGATCATATCTTAGCTATAAGCAGGTGGGAACACTATGTTTTCCTGGGTAAAAGACCTAGAAATCCGGCTACTCATTAGTTCCAAATTTCTTTCTAGCATTATCTGAGAGCTTAGACTAACCCTACAGCAGAAGGGCCCCTGTAAAATATTTAAAATATTCTTACAACATAATTTTAATTTACTTGGAATTGAAAATTCATGACTTTTAGGAGGTATGGGAGATGAGTAATATAAAAACAAACTATTTGATAGGAGGTGGGGAATGTCAAATTTCTGAGATGGTTTAGAACTACAGCTATTCCAAACATTAGCTATCCATTAACACAATGCTGAATGAGGAAAAAAAAAAGTTTAATTTCAAGTCTGTAGAGTATAAGTCTATTATATAAAGCTGTGTATCCGTATCTATATAGGTATGTATCTGCAGAAGTGTTTGGAAGGTATTGACCAAAATGTTATCAGCCATTACCTTTGAATGGTGAAAGTTCAGGTGAAACTTCCTTTTTAATGTTTGTTTTTTTTTTTAAATTAAAGTAATTAGAAAACTATAAAGCTATTTTCACTCTGAATTAAAAAAATAGCTATCATTTATTATTTAGACTATGTTGCTAACTAATTTACATACATTGTTTCATTTGGTTCTCAAAACAACCCTTACAGATAGGAACTATTATTTCCAATTTATAGGAGTAGAATTCTAGGTTCAGAGGGTATGTGTCCTTCTCAAAGTCACTTCGCCACTTAGTGACTGGTGCATCTGGGACTTGTATCGAAGTATCTTTGACTTCAGGTTCCATGCTATCTTTATATGATCATAATATCTTACTAACTGTTCTACTTTGCTAATGCTAATATGCTAAGACATCCTTTGGTTTAATTTTGTTTATAAAAAACAGAAGCCAAAAATTTTGAATGAGTTTAAAACAGCTTTCAGAGCCTATTGTTAGTTGCCATTAAGTTGATTCCAACTCATGGCGACCTCATGTGTGCACAGCAGAACTGCACTCCAGAGGGTTTTCAAGGCTGTAATCTTTTGGAAGCAGATTGCCAGGCCTGTCTCTGAGGTACCTCTGGGTGGGTTTGAATCGCCAACCTTTCAATTAGTAATCCACTGTTACACATTTGCGCCACCCAAGACTCCATTTTCAGTGTCTATAAATGTTAGTTTTTAAAAAAAATCCCCAATCTTTTTAGAACAAAATATTTAACAACACTCTTTTCAAAATTTATAAAGTTATTTAGTAACAAAGGTAATTAACATTCCAATATTCCTGATATATTAGTCTTTAATTCATCTTAACTATTTTGTTCTTAGATACCCTCTCAAATATGATTTTAGTTCATTTTAAGATTAATACAAGAACATATAAGAGTCAGGCGTACGCACGGGGGGAACAGAAAAGCCGATTCTTACACAAGAAATACCGTCATTATTTTTCAAGTCTCTAACCAAAGCATAACCATTTGAAAGAGAGAAAAAAAGATGGTCATGTAGGATAAACGAAAACCACTAGCATATTAAAATACTAGCATTCCAACACAAATTTTAAAAAAAAAGTCATACTATTAGGTTTGTTATGTCAATGTCTTATGCCAGGAACAATCTTATTAATCTTCATTCAAGGAATTTGTACTACTTAGACCTTTTCAAGTAAAAAGCATCTGGATTTTCATAGGTTACTGTATATAAAGCACTTACATTTCCACAGATTCACAATCCCACAATTCTGAAATTCAAAATGCTCTGAAAATCATAAGTCTTGGGGGTAAGTTTTTGGAGCCCAAACTTACTTGTGGCAAAATGTGACTTAGACTAAACTTGAACTATTTTCAGTTTTCATTTATTTCACTTGGTATGAATATGAATCTATGTAGCAGCAAAAATATTGTGTTTTATCATGGGCTATAGAATATACGGTATACGGATCACCTTTCTAAACTCTGAAAAATTATGAATTTTGAAACATGTCTGGCTCCAAGTGCTTTTGATAAGAGACTGTGGACCTCTAAGTCACATATTTTAAAGATACCATACATCTTGGAGTGGAGTGGAGCAGAGTCCCTTATGACATGTATTTTAAGGATAGCAGCACCTCCCCTTCAAAGAAAAGTGGGAACGCATCTGGACACAGTCAACCCTCCGTATCTGCAGGTTCCACATCCACGGATTCAACCAACTGGGATCAAAAATATTCAGGAAAAAAAGTTCCAAAAAGCAAACTAGAATTTGCCGCATGCTGGGCACTACACTGAATCCACATGAATGAAGTGATGTATAAGCATACCCTGCTGTAGCCTCCCACCATTTCACAGATCCTCAGTCTCTCTCCAGCACTCACTGTTTAAGCATTGATAACCTCGTGTCTTCTCGTTATTCCCTAAACAATACCAATACTATATAACAACTATTTGCATAGCATTTACAATCTCTTAGGTATTATAAGTAATCTAGAGATGATCTGAGGCATACGGGAGGATGTGTGTAGGTTATATGCAAATATTACACCATTTTATATAAGGGACTTGAGCATCCTCGGATTTTGTTGTCCTTGGGAGGTCCTGGAACCAATCCTCTGCAGATAACAAGGGACAACG